CGAAACAATATACAAGACTACTTGTAAAGCCACAAGAAACACCTGCACTATCATCTCGAAAGATCCTGTTGTTATTGTTGAAATCATTCGCGTTTTACGAGTCGTTCCTGTATCCTTCGGTCTCATCTACCACCTTTGATGCGTCACCGACACACGGTATATACAATTGTACGTGTAGCATAATGCGCGACACATATTTGTTGAAGATACAATTGAATAGCTAACGTGAACAACGTGTATGACATACATGTGAGGAATGGTAATGTTCACTTTCCACAAGCTATGGTGCTTGGTATAAATTTTCTGAAAATCGCGGTGCATCATTTGTTAAACACAGGCAATAATCAAAATATTAATTATAAAAGTAAGGTTATTCATATACCGAAGAATAATAACGAAAGTGGAGTTTTTGAATAAAGGAACAATAAAAATGACCAACGGTTGGTTCCGAAATTATAGTATAAGGCGTAAAGATTTGAAACAGATTTTGCTGGAAAATATATTTGAGAAAATCCAGAGTCGTGTAACTTAGGAACGTCTTGAACTACTACTCTTTTCTTTGACTTGGTCTGACTTACGATCGCGAGACTACGGATTTGGTGTTCCTGTATATAAACCGGTGAACAGTTACATTATGTTTACATTTGCATATATTATTGCTTACGAGTATATGCATTTCGTAAATCTTGGCAGAACTAATTATTTGGCAAGAACATCTTCTAGACGTAACACTCACAAGTCATGTGTGGTTAAATTTGGAAACACGTACTCTTCCTGTAGACTATGTACAGGGGCGTGGTGAACGATTCGAGATTGGGGGGCGTCATACCATAATGACCAACTTTTTCAATGAAAATGACCAACTTTTTCGTCCTTGAAAAAATTTTTCTCGAAATTTATTTCGGTAACCTAACCCCGCCCCTCCCCCCCGTCGCCAAAATATTTTCGGTCAGTGTATCATTTTAGGGGTAAAAAAAATTTTCCGGACATATCCAAATTTTTCGCGACATAAAAAATTCACAAATTTTCTCCGTTTATCAAAGAAATTTTTCTAAAATTCTAAAAAATTTTTGGATTTTCTAAAATTTTTGTTAATATAATATTTGCTTTAATATTTAAATAATTCCTTTGACCAACTTTTCAAAGTTCAGAATTATTGGGGTGGGGGCTTCGCACCCCCCCCCCAAGCCCCCCAGTCGCCAAGCACCTGACTATGTATAATTTGTATTTCATACAATTTAAAAACCAATGAGGATAACAACGAGGACTGAAGAATAATTACCTTTGGATACTTAGAATTAGTTCTAGTATAATATTGTTTATAAATTAGAATAATTATCTTTATAAAGTTTTTTCAAGAATGATTAATAAACAGTTATTATATATTCATAAGAGCCGTGGCAACATCGTTTCTTGTGGAAATATCGGGATCATATAATGTCGTAGCCTTACAAAGATTATGCAAGGCCATCGAAAAATATCACGAAACCCAGACAAAAATCGTCCCGATGTCACAGTAGTTTTCGAGGGAGACAGAATAAGCGAAGGGGGACATTATCCGAGACGTGGATAGTTTTCGGGGATAGGTATCGCTGATACTATGTTATTTATAGCTATAAATAGCTATAATTAGTTCACAGTAATGTTTATTTGCCAAAACGGTTTGACATATTTTTACACTGATAGCCAATCACACGCGAGATTCAAACTGTTCTGAACCTAATCAAGTGTGGAAGTGGGATTTGCAACCTATGTGACCAGAGGCTCTTCATTCTCGCCTCTTTCGCCTCGCAAAAAGCCTCTGGAACCAGGGTAACCTAAATACTGAAAATAGATCAATTTTATGAAATTTTTAGTGACTTAATTTAAATACTTAACCAAATACATACCTTGTTTAAAAAAAAGGTGCCGATAAACGGTTTAGTGAAGAATTAATATGATAATGGCGGTAATTTATCGTAAAAGTTATCGTAAAAATATTGTATTTTTACTCCCGCCATTCTGCTTTGCACGAGTTATGCATTTGAATCTAATTCCATCAGTCTCAGTATGAAAAAAATTATAGTTCAATGAGCTACGATTACGATACGAATAGGATTGTATTAACTACTCCTACCGCTGAATAGTACAAGTACCATTGCACTGATAAGAATGCAATAGTTTTTGTACCATTGCACGGTAGCAAAATGGGAATTGTAATTAAGTGACCAGAATCAAATGAGGTGTTATATAATATAATATACTAGGAGTTACTATCGCAAGGAAAGTGTTGCCTTTTTGCCACATGAACTGCACCGTGGGCACAAAAGACAGCAAATTCGGCCACGTACAAATAACTTTCTGTTGTTAGTTTGGAATATCACGAAACTTCCTCACAGGATAGAACTTGCCATTCCTAAAAATCGTATCGATTTTGTTTTTCGATTTTGTTACATTTTGGCGGGAAAATGACGTACCAACTTTGGCGCCAAAAAAATAAACACGAGCTAAGAACATTCTAGTAAATTTTTTGAAGAGATTGTCCTATAAGGATCTCAAAACTGTAAAAACATTAAAAATACAACAAGGCAGTGCGAAGATATGGCGATTCAAAATTCGAAAAAAATCTATTTTTAGTAACAAAATGGCGGATTTTTTAGAATTTTAAGCACCATATCTTTGCACTGCTTTGTCGTATTTTCAATATTTTTACAGTTTTCAGGACAATCTTTTCAAAAAAGTTCCTAGCATGTTCTTAGTTCGTGTTTAATTTTTTGTCGCCAAAGTTGGCACGTCATTTTCCCGCCAAAATGTAACAAAATCGAAAAGGATTGGAATGGCAAGTTCTATCCTGTTAGGAAGTTTCGTGATATTCCAAACTAACAACAGAAAGTTATTTGTACGTGGCCGAATTTGCTGTCTTTTGTGCCAACCGTGCTGAATGTAAACGTTTATACTTCTAGACAATTCTCTAAAGGGAAGTTTACTTTTAACACAATGGCCTCATTCCCACGTTTCATCATTGGTAGCATGGCAAGCCTGCATATGAAGGTTATATCCCATATGGCTATGTTTCCTGCAGAAATTTGTTTCTCGTTCATCATTTAACTCTTCAGAATTTGTTTAGAGTCAATGTGAGTAAAATACTCCTTCTATTCAAGCGCTTTCATGTAGAAAGTTTCGTTTGAGTACGGCACAGAGTGGAAATATTTATTTTGAATTTTTCAAAATATCGGCTTTTTACTCGCACGCACGCTCCAGGTGTATGCTTGGCCATATATAGCCCGATGCACGTGTAAACCAAGCCACTGGGAGTACTTTGACTTGTAGAATCGATTTCCTGTTTTTCCAAACCCTAGTGCCAGGATGTAAACAGCGCTTTGTTTTGCCGGAGAACGTTTCACAGGCCGCGCTAAAAATATAAATACTATTTATTTATTTCAGTAAGTACCGAAATAGAAGGTGAAAATCTGAAGACACAAGCTTGAAAATAACACTCTAAATAATGTTTTGGATTCCGGTTCGAATAAGACTATTACGAAAAAGATATGTCCAAAGGGGCCAAAGTTATGTTCGGCGAAATGTATGGCTATTTCACATTGTTCGTTACTATGAAATATGATACCATAAATTATGGACCTTAGTTTATACTTGTATACTTGAATTCGCGTCGTATACTCATTTTCGCTAGCTATAAATTCGTGTGATTTAATTTCGCGCACCTTGTTGAAACGCATTCGCTCAGCTTTAAATTTGCGCGAGAGTATTTTCGTGTTCGTTCTTTTTTGTTTGTTTTATAGCAAAATTCATGAATACAGCGTGCGTTCAAAACCAACAAGAAATAAAACATTTATTTTATGGTTCTCATTTGCCTAATACAATAACAATAACAATAGCAATAACAATAACATTAACAATAATCTTTACTAGCTAGCATTCCCATATATTATAGGTTCATAAGGCAAAATCATCTCGATATAAACATGCTACTACATTTTTACTCGTATTATAATTAAGACATTATTGACGAATAGATCAGTGACAGTGCACATTGCTATAAACATCTAGATTGAGCTCATTACTATAAAATATGCAGACAACAATCGACACTGGGTTGCTATAGGAATCTTATTTTAATAAGCCTGATTTCGTTGACGATGTCGTTTCTATTTTGTTTCTTACACAGTAAATGGAGATTGATATAGACGACACATCGTTAGTTATATTTTTGTAATATCGTGATATTGTTTCAATACCTAGCTCTATATCGAATACTAAAACAGCAGATCTATTGCCTTCATGTTGTATATCACCAGAAAGAAATAAAGCCATTCGTACCTGATTTATATTTATAATCGCATATTGTTTCAA